TAACCCGCGTATTTCAACTTGATTACAATTATTCGTTGGCTTCTGAATCTGCGTACGCATTACAATGATAATTCGGCAAAATAAATAAAAATGGTAGCAGGTAATAAAGGGAAATTCCACAAAACTCCACGGAACGCTGCCTGCTGCGTAACACAGGAGACATGTGATATTTCATACGTGAAAAACGTAGAGCACGTACGCGGTATAATAAAAATCCTGACGAACCGGATGCTTGCATATCCGCGAACTATAGGAATATACGTCGCGTTTCCCATCCTATTCATCGATATCCCCGCGGATCGGCAGTTGATATCACGTAAGAAATTCACGTTCGGCCAGACACATCCATTTACGAGGTAAAATATAGCCTAGTAGCGTGATGGTTTTCCGAATGGCGTCGTCCCCGCGACATCGGCGAGAGCCCAGACCCGGTGTGTGGATGTGTGTGTGTGTGTGTGTGTGTGTGTGTGTGTGTGTGCGCGCGCGCGCGCGCGCGTGTACGTGTATACGTACGTACATAAAACGCGGCTTTATGTATTATTATATTTACATACGTATATGCGTTTTCGTCTTCAAAAACTCTCGCACGGGCGGGCCCATCCCTCCCGTAGTGCCACGCAGTGCCTGTCTTCCTGTCGAATTGCCGACGGGCGAGGGTGTGCGATGGGTGGAAAACGGAAACGTGAACGTGTTTCGTGTTAACGTTGCCGCAAACACACTCGCAGATGGCGATCTACGTATCTCACGGCACGTAAATCCGATCCCCTACCACCGGGCGACCAAGGGCTGTTGCGAAGTTCTGTCGTGCATTTCTGATGGCTATCATTTGGTATTGTAATCCAGACACCGGGACGAGAGCATGTACGCGATGATAATGGACGAATAATCGTCCAGTCCATCGACGTACACCGCTAACACGATTTTCGAATTGCGCCTCGGACTATGCGATAACGAGCCGATGAAGCGACTACCAATTATCTTGTAATAAGCTTGATGAATTTTGTCCGTAAATAGAACGATAACGCTCGATCCAGTGTATCCGTTCTACCGTTCCACCCTTAACGGTGTTTATTAAGCCGGTCGATGCGATACAATCCTTGAAAAATTATTCGGCAAATCCTTAGTTCTTTACGCACCGATCCCTTTGATCGTGAAGATAAATAGAAATAGAAATCGATTAAGTCTAAAAATGACAGGTGAGTCAAGTGCGGTTCGGAGAAATATGGCCACGCTGTCGGCCAGGATCGGACTATCCCTGCAGTTCCATTCGTGTTTAGCTCGGAGGATTATAGGCGGGACACCTGACGTACTCCCATCGGTCCGAATCGAGAAGCAGAATAGAAACAAACGGGAAAAGATAAAGTAGGGAAAGGGGAGAAAAAAAAGATTTCGCCCTACCTACTAGTTGTGTTCTACCAGGTAACATCGACCCTCCAATCCGGAATCCTTATTTCAAACGAGGACAAACAGGAGGGGTCGCCGTGCAAAAACGAGACCCGTCGGTCACCGTATGCCGTTCATCCGTGCGAACAAACGTACCCGAAGAACGGAGAAAGCCGATTGTGCAGAGAGCATCGCGACAGGAAAGTTTCCAAGCCGGATTTTCATTCGATAGTAACAGGAGGCAAAATGGACCAGGTGACGCGGAGAACACCTCGCAGGGAGCTTTACGATATTTGTGTGAAACGTTAACGTGCGCACGCGTACGGAATTAGCTTGACGAGTGCGTTCACCTCGTAAAACGGGGTGCGACACGGGTTGGCGAAAGTTGATTTTTGGAAAACAGTTGTTTCGTACGAATTGGCAATAAAATTAAAATGGAACAAAAGCTCTCATTTTTCTACGAGATTTTTAACGAGAAAACGTTGTTCTCCGCTGCGAAACAATAGCGGCAAGAGACAAACACGTTGAATGCGATATACCATGGTTCCGAAATGTTGCAAGAGCTAAACGACAAAATAAATATAATGTGTATAATTTGAATTGTGTATTACAATGATGTAAATTGCCTCGGTACGACGTCGTACGGATACATTTAACATTGCGAGACGCCGAGACTCGCACCCGCGCAGTTCTGAAGGTGTCTTCGTGGCGCTGACTGTGGCCGAAGGGTGTCCGGATTTCCGACTGTCGTGTCCCCGGGTTCGCCAAATTGCACGCCACCTAGCAAGACGAATAGTTCGACGTGGAATGCGTCGCAATGAATCCACGAAACCCCTCGTATACCACCGACCTCGCCTCAGGATTCTCCTATCTGGACAATGGCGCGAAGGTTGTTACTTACTGAGGCTCAAGAGAGGCGCATGGGCGTTCCGACAAGCGAGGTTGAATTATAGAAAGACTGATTCTGGAAGATTATACTTGACAGATGTAGGCGGTTTAACAAACGGCTTGCCGGATTCGTTTTCCCGAATATCCGCCCTCTCCCTCCCCCCTACCGACTATCGATTACCGATATCTACTTACTTTATTCGGGGTACACTCGATATTCTAGAATACTTCAGAAAAAACGAGTCGTACATCAATTCGGAGCGTAATATTTTAATGCGCCCTCATTCGTAATTCGTTCGTCGACGTTTTATGGCTCCCGTGTCATTTCCCATGCGTATGATTTTCTTGTCGCTCGCAAAGTTATCATCTTCTCGTTGCTTATTCTGTTACACAGTTTCGCGCGAAAACAATATAAACGACAAATGGCAGCAGCGTATCGCTTCTCTCGGGGTTTACGTTATTTCACGTCGTTTTGTGACTGGTGCGTCGGCTTCCACTGTTTTCGATCGAACGTTTGACATGTGTTTCTTTTCTCTTATCCGCTCTATTTGTGGATTGGAACAAAGCGTGAAGCGGAAGAATATTTGCGCAAACTGGTGGGAAAAGATGGAGCGCGAGAATTCTATGAATACGTTTCCAAGTTCAAATGCCCATGCGATTTCCATGTGTCTCGCAGGTGCAGCCTGCATTTGTGGAGTGGTTACAAAATGCCCCTTGTTGCTACTCTTCGTAACGTAAAAATCCGAACGCATAAAAACTTCGTGTAAAGTCATATCAGAGATAAAAAGTTATGATAAATCGCGTACACTTTTCAAGTCTCTCTTACACAATTTTCTTTTAATTTAATTTAATTTTTCAAATTAATCTCGCATCGCGTCACATGTAACGTATTATTTCTCTCGATGCCGAGCAATTGCGACGACGATACTGAATAAATCGATAAACATTTTAACACTTGCTTCCATATAAAGATAGAAACTTCGCTCGATGCGCGCTTCATTTTCTCGATTATCGATTATCGTTTCATCACTCTTCACAGAGCGCGTAAAAAAAAGGAAAAAAAAAACAATTATAACAGACGAATACAAAGTCAACGGCACATCACGGGTCAATGTTATTAAAATACTTCCGCTGTAAATAGCCGTCGTCTCGCCTCGCAAACTAGCCGGTCAAGCCCTCGTGAAAACGTTTCTCATAGCGACCCTTTGTCATTTTCGCTTTCCTAACACCGCAAAGCTCTCTCCCACGAATTTTCGACTTACACCACTGAAAGATCTATGAAGTTTTTAGTGGATTTCGTTGTAACGACGTCTAGTAGATTTTGATAGAGGCACTCTTTTCCATGGCGTTGCTTTCGAACGAGCCATGGCAATAACGACAATCACAATGTTTATTGCCCGAGTCCCTGATTTTACCTTCGTGAGAAGAAATTCCTCGCCACTCTCCCCGACTCGGCTTAGCTCGATCGTTTACTTCTCGGGGGTTTCTCTAAGAGGGTTGCCGAACCAACATAAACCGTAGAGCTGACAGGCATGCGAAAAGATTTAATCGACCATACGCGCGCTCACGTTCGATTGTACGCTGCTTGAGACCAATAAGAACAGGCTCGTACGAACGATTCTTCCTGCTCGTTGATTTGAGAACCGGAAGATACGTTTCTGCGCGTTCTCCTCCTCTTCCCCCTCCCCCTCTCCCGCCTCGAACTATTCTTTATTCCGCGTAGATGCCACCGGATACCACCGCACACCCGAGAATAAATCGCACGACTTTAATGTTTCCTGCCACTCGATTGTATCGGAAACATAAAAAACGAATATAATCCTAATTGTAATCAATATATACTGTAAATGGAAATAGCATAATCTCGTTTCTCGATCGATGAGATTTCGAAAGGAAAAATTTCTGAAAAGAGCCAGATGAATTTAATCCGTATAATAAAACAAATATATATATATATATATATATATATATACAGGTTTGATCTTTTCTTAATTGCAAATAAAATCGCGAGGTAGATGGATCGTCGCTCGATCTCGTAGAACAAATTTATTCAGGGCGATTGATCCTCGCGCGGCGGTATGAAGTTTTCCGACGACGGACGGAGCTTCGTTCGCGCGCCGCAGCTTTTTGTTGTCTAACGAAAACTTTAATGGAAAGATTACAACCGAATGACAGTAAACGTAACGCGAATTGAAACGTGAATGAGATCGCTGAAAGACTAATAAGTATAGTGATTGGATAATATCCCGGCGGCGATGCGCCTCGAGGCTTCGAGTCATTTGCCACTTATCCTAACTTCGCGAACAGCGATTGCGACGACGACGCCGTAATTGCTGTTTACGTTCGTGATTCCCGCGGATACACTCCAACTTTAAAGAGTTCTATCTCCTGGCAGAATAGTGCGGGATATCACTATTGTTTCTTTTGCCCCATTGTCTTTAAAAGACCTCGCATCGGGCGATGCGTCGCTTTTACGGAACGTCGAGACTACGAAGATCTACGTAGCCATAGAAAAACATCATTTGCATTTCAAATAGCTCGGTCATAAACAGTTTTTAATGAACACTTGATATTAGCGTGAATAATAAATTGCCAATCTATCAGATCCTGCGAATTCAAAATAAATTCCGATAAATTCATTTGTGTGGAGTTTAATTGCATAAATTACAAGATTACCTCTGAAATTATTACGCATGTATTACGTTACTAAAAACCTCGTTATGTTCCAGGATCATGCAACCAGTCCTTGGGGATGGAATCGGGTGACATACCAGATTCAGCTATCACTGCGTCCTCATCGTATGTGACGAACGTTGGGCCGCGAAATGGCCGGTGAGCACATTACTTTTACGACCCACTACTATCCGCAACGTTAAAAGATACGCCGCTACTATGTGTTTTTAATGTAATCTTTTTTGAAGAGGACAGATCCAATCGTTTATCGGGCCGCGAGTTTAATGCACTGGTATCATCCAGCGAATGCGCCATATGTCATTTTTCGTCCCTCCACGTATCTAATCCCCTATATTTTACGAGGCTGTCGCGCGCGTTCTGTTTATAACTCAGCGATCCTATTCATCCATCTATCTATCGCGAAAGTGTTTTTTCCGAGCAGCGGCGATATTGATTCAACCCACGCCGGGATTTTAACTTATTCAAATCTAATTTCCTTGAAGTTACATGCCTAAGTTACGCGCCTGTGACTATCAAGCGCGCAATCCGGTTACGAGAAATTGTAATCACGTTTTATGGAAGATACAAGACAGCGTAACATTTCTGCGAAGCAATCGTCACTTGGAAATGATACTTTCTAAATGAACTATGAAGAGAGAGAATCAGCTCGAGAAAATTATTTAATTTGATTATTACATCACATTACTTAAAAAGTAAAAAATATAAATGTTTTGATAAAATATATATTCTATATTAATTTTTTTATATTTTTAATTAATCGGCTCATTCAATCAACATAAAAATTAAAATTACACTTTCTATTTGCTACACATAATAAATATTTTATCGACTCGTGATTGATTGTGTAGTAATGAAAAAATAGGAACGAATACGCTATTTAATTTAAAAAAAAACCGTAAAGTCTCGACTGCGAATTGTTCACAGAAAGAATAAAAATTTATTGCTAAGTGCACGAATTGAGCGCACTGTCGTCATAATCAAGTAAGATATATACGTTATATAAATTGAGAAATGAAACCTTTTCGACAGATTATTACGTTCGAGCAGCGGATAATTAAAGCAGTGGTAAAGGCGATCATTGATCAGCCGTCAGACGCGCCTGATAAATGAGTGCTCCGTCTGAAAGTTTAAATACGTCAGATCATCGATCTAAGAAAGCTCATACATATACAAAAGCAGTTCTTATATATTCTTTAGATGTTGTTGATGAATAGAAAATTCCATATTATATAAGATTATATTATAAAATCAATTATTTTTCTACGCTACAACGTGTGTATTCACTGACTAAAGTTTTGCGCATTAAATCTTTGAATATAATATTTAACAAAGTGAAAAATAGTTTGATATTATACATAATAGCGCGGGAAAGCACTATACGTTCTACAGGTTCTACAGGTTCTACACGTTCGCGGCTCTATGATATTAATAGAGAGCTTTGTTCGTACTTAGTTGACACTCTTCACGCGTACAAAGTTTGCATAAGATCGCAGTTTATTTAATTATATAAAATTTCTATCAACTATGGGCTGTTCGAGACTTGTTCCTCTAGTAATGAAATTCTTTTGTATCAAAGTTACGTAAAAAAAAAAAAAAAAAACTGCAAATGATAAGCGAATTAACGTAGCACGAACATCGTTCGGGAATCATTGGCGAAAGGTGGCTGGAAAAAGCGGGAATCTTCTTGATCTACGATGAAGTTAACTTTGTTATTAAGTACGAGATGCCACTCGATCAATCAGAAGTGATTGAGGTAGTAAGACTTTCATTAACGCCATTTAACACAAACGTAAATAATCGACGTAGGAAGAGAAAACATAAGTGGAACAGAGTGGAGAGGTAGGTGCGCGAGTAAATCACGGATTCGCTGTTTAAGTATACTTTTAAAAAGGTGGAAGTTCTTAAAACCCAGAAATGATCTCGTGAATTGTTCTTCTTAGTTGAAAAGATAGTAACTGAATTGTACAATATAATTGGCAGACTTTTTTACGCTCGAGAGGACAATAAAACGATAATTCCGCAGCATTTTGGAAATGAAGTCTAACGACCCTCTTATGCAGAGTCCTTCGTTTGCAAAGTACCGTATACGATTCAGTAATTTCGTACATTTTTAATGCGGTCTCCCACTCGTAAATTACGAATCACCATTTACGAAATTGTCGTACAAATATCTCTTTTCGCGAATAATTCATTTCATTTCTAAATATACTTCGTTTCACTTAATCTATTAATTTAACATTCGAAGCGTATTAACTTTAAGCAGAATGAGGTTAAATTTATTGTAATAAAAGAGAAATATTTTTGTATTCGGAGAAGATATAATTTTTCTATAAAACCTTTAGAAAAATCGTATTCTTGAAATTATACATAAGCATCAGTTACAAGGAAAAATTGTCTCTAGCTTGCCAATAATATTTTAGACTCCGAAAGGAGACCGCCGGCGGTGCTTGGTGTCCAAAAAGCCAAATAGAGAAAGGAGTTCGCGAATGGCTTCAAGTTGATCTACAGGGTGCTCACGTCGTTACTGGTGTGCAGACACAGGGCCGTTACGATCACGGCCGCGGTCAGGAATACGTCGAGGATTACACTCTAGAATATCGACGTCCTGGCTTCACTCGATGGCGTCGATATAAGCGTTGGGATAACATAGAGGTAAGAGAGAAGACAGACACGTCTGGTGATGATATCTAGGAAAGGGGACGCAATTTGCCAAGTTCAACGCTCCCTTTTTGTTGTTTCTTAATTAATTAGCATTGAATAGATTTGATTACTCTACATTTTTTTATAAATTAATATAAAAATTAATTAATATTAAAATTATATATTAAATTTTATAATTTAATATATAAATGAATCTTTATATAAATAGAGAATTTATAATATTTTTTCATGAATATAAAATTATTTAATGATTTATTTTTTTATAATTTTATTAAATTATTTTATTTAAATTTTTAAATTAAATTATTCTATAATATAAACATTTGTTATACCTATACCTAATGTATTTTGATTAATTAGTACACACGAAAAGTGTTTAAATAATATTGCATAGAAGAGAGTGTTTAAATAATATTATAATTACATTATTCTATAATATAAACATTTATTATATCCATAATGCGTTGATATATTTTGATACTAGTAGACACGAAAAGTATTCAAATAATACTGCATAGAAGCAAGCAATTACGAAATTTAAATACAACAAATGTACGATTGTAGAAGTGTTGTACGCTAGCTATCAGGAATTTACACCGTGTCTCAATTGGAACAAACTCAAACAAACGCAAACACGTAAACGATACGCAGAACAAAACCAATTGGAATTGCCCACGCGCCTGATGTCAAATTGGAATTTTATTCCGCTGAAAAATGCAAGGGAGCTCGACTCGAAGTCGCTTGTTAGCGAAGTCACAGTTAGAACTCTACTTGGCACTCGCTTAACGATGCTTAATTGATGGAACTTTTCCTATGTCAATTAATTATCCGTAAGAAAATTTTATCACGAGTTAAAGTTCCTTGTAAAAGACGAGCATAAAGAGAAATGAATAGTAAGAAAAATTCAAATAATGAAAGAAAACAAAAGCAGATAATGAGTCTTTCATTGCGATCCGCTACATGATTATTAAGCCGGTAATTGCATACAAGTATCAGAATGGATTTATAAATTTCAAGAGGAATTCGAGGAGGCGAATATCCAATATTATATATATTACAAAATTTGATCATTAATATATTCACAAATTTATTAATTTAATTAATAATTTAATTAATATATAATTTAACTCCCGTTTATATAATGATGGGAAATACAATTTTGAATGTTCTTTTATTTACATTACTACCGTATAGAAAACCAATAATAATTATCAACTATCTCTCAAACAACAGAGTATCCGGTTTAAATGAAACATATCTTCCCACTGTAATATCAAAATCCTTTTGTTTCACGGTCGATCGGGCAATATTCTCAACTTCGATTTCGCGCGGCCCTCCTCCTCACCGTTCGCCGTTTAGATCCCAGTCGTGAAACAGAAAAGTGAAAAGCGGCAATCGATAAGCGATCTACTCTTGTGAGGGAATTGCACGTAATGTCTTTGCACCGTAACGTATGGTTAAGCGTCGCTAAAAGTGCAACTACTCCCTTTCGAAAGCTAGACGTTTTCATTTCTCCTGTTTCCCATCTCTGCCAGAGCGCTCTTCTTTTCTCGCATTCTCGAATATCGCGTTCAAGATTGAATCACGCATCGCTGCCTTCGACATCGCGCTCTTCTATCGCAGAATTATTTCTCCCTCGATCTCTGTTTGTATCACGATATCGACGTAGCTCTTGCGTAAATGTGTTTTCGATTATTCTTTCGTTACGCGACAATTTTTCTAACTAGATATATTGGAACAAATGTATGATATCATAACAGATGACGTGATAAATGATAACAATTTTATGTTTCATTTGATGAAAAACAT